TAACTCAGACTCCTATCAAATATGAAACATTTCCATATTTCTAGAAAGCTCCCCAATGTTCCTCCACTCTCCATACCTATTTTTCCTGATCTAGAGCATCATATAAATGGATGCTCTAAATCAAACTTGCCTATCCTGCAGCCTGCAGGCTGCATGCAGCCCAGGATGGCTTTGAATGCAGCTGAACACAAATTCGTAAACTTTGTTATTGTTTCTCAAAACATCAGTTTTGGCTGGGCACGGTGGCTCACACCTGTAATCCCAGCACCTGGGAGGCTGAGGTGGGTGGATCACCAGAGGTTAGGAGTTCAAGACCAGCCTGACCAACATGGTGAAACGTCATCTCTACTAAAAAGACAAAAAATTAGCTGGGCATGGTGGCAGGTGCCTGTAATCCCAGCTACTCAGGAGGCTGAGGCAGGAGAATCACTTGAACCTGGGAGGTGGAGGTTGTGGTGAGCTGAGATCTCGCTATTTCACTCCAGCCTGGGCAACATTATCAGGTCTTTTTATTTTATTTTTTAGCTCATCAGCTATCATTAGTGTATTTTATGTGTGACCCAAGATGATTCTTCTTCCAATGTAGCCCACGGAAGTCAAAAAATTGGACACCCATGTTCTAAATGTTTCTTTTTTGAGTTCCACACGTCTATTAGATTCATTCATGTTGTTACATGTATCAGTAGTTCATTCTTGTTTGTTGCTGAGTAGTATTTCCTTGCATAAATGTCCTTTCATTTTCTCACTGGTGCACATTTCATTTGGCTCCAGCTTTGAATTATTGTGAAAAAGTTGCTATGAACATTTTTGCGTAAGCCTTTCTACGAACACATATTTTTATTTCTCCTAGATAAATCCCTGACAGTGGAATTGTTGGACCAAAAGGGTGGTATATATTTAACTTTATAAGAAAATGCCAAATATTTTTTAAAAGTGGTTGCACCATTTTACATTCCTACCTTCGGCTATTGACAGTTCTGTTGCTTCACATCCTTGCCAAAATTTTGCATTTCTCTGATGACTAATAACATTGAGCACTTTGTGTTCTTTGGCCATATATACATGTATATATATATGTGTGTGTGTGTGTATATACACACACACACACACACACACACATCTTCCTTTGTGCGAAGTCTGCATGTTTGCCCATTTTTAAATGTTCATTTTAGTACTGAATTATAGGAATTCCCTATAAACGTGAATATAAATCCTTTGTCAGATATACATTCTAAAAATTTTTTCTTCCAATTTGAGGTTTGCCTATTCATCTTGGTGTTATTTGGTGAACAGGAGTATTTTAGTTTGATAAAGTCCAATTAAGGATTTTTAAAAATTTTATGATGTTACTTTCTGTGACGTAAGAAATCTTTGCCTATTCCTCGTTGCAAAGATGCCATATTTTCTCCAATAAGCTTCATAGTTTTTACTTTGACATTTAGGGCTATGTCCCAATTTATACAATTTTTGTGCATGTTTACTAATTTTGTATATGGTATAAATTTATAATAACTTTTTTGTGTAGTATGTGTATTCTTTTTCTGTAAGAATATCCAGTTGTGCCAGCACCATTCATCAAAAAGACTTCTTTTGGCCAGGCGTGGTGGCTCACGCCTGTAATCCCAGCACTTTGGGAGGCTGAGGCAGGCGGATCACCTGAAGCCAGGAGTTCGAGACCAGCCTGACCAACATGGAGAAATCCCATCTCTAAAAAAAAAAGACTCCTTTCCCTGTTGAATTGATTTTGTCAAAAGCCAATTAACTGCAGAAATGGAGATCTATTTCTGAACCCTTTATTCTGGTCCATTTATCAATTTGGCCTAATCAATACTGCACCATCTTGATTACAATTGTTTTATAATAAGTATTGTTTTATAATAAGTATTGAGGTTGGGTATGTTTATAAATGTTCTGGCTTTAATCTGAGCTCTTTGCATTTCTATATAAATTTTGAATATTTTGTCAATTTCTATAATAAGTGTCTGTTGGTATTGTGTTGTAAATGGATTGAGTATACAGACTAATTTGAGGGAAATTGGTATCTTAACAATATTGAGTCTTCTATTCCACAAACACAGTATATCTCTCCATTTATTATAGTCTTCAATTTCTTTCAACAATGTTTTGTGGATTTCCGTGTGGAGGTTTTGCACGTCTTTTGGGAAATTTATAGCTAATTACATTATGGGTTTTTTTAATGCAATTGTGAATGAAATTTTTTTCATTTAATTTCCAGGTGGTATTAATTTCCAATGGCCGCTGTAACAAGTAACCTCAAACTGGGTGGGTTAAACCAGCTGAAATTTATTCTCTTTGCAATCTGAAGACCAGAAGTCTGTAATCTGTATCACTGGGCTGAAATCAAGATGTTAGCATGGCTGCATTCCTGCTGGAGGCTCTAAAGGAGAATTTCTTGTTTGTTTATTCCATCTTCTGGTGGCTACCACATTCCTTGGCTTATGCCTGCATCACTCCAAACTCTGCCTCTGTCTTTACATTGCCTTCTCCTCTGAGTAAGTGTGAAAATCTCCCTCTCATAATGATATATTCAATGGCATTTAGGGCCTACCTGGATAATCTAGTATAATCTCCCCATCTCAATATCCTTAGCTTAATCACATCTGCAAAGACCCTTTTTCCAAATAAGGTAACCTTCACAAGTTCCAAGGATTAAGATCTGATGTCTGTGCAGGTATTTTTGAAAGTATATAGAAACACAATTTGTTTATGTTGGGTTTGTAGTCTGAGGTCCTCCTTCATTCACTACTTCTGGTGTTTGCTTTTTATTAATTTCTTCGGGTTTTCTATGTAATCAGCCATGTCAGCTGAAAATATTATGCCTTACATTTCTTGTTCTTACATTATTGCACTGAATGTAGTATATTTAGTCTTAAAAATATAGGCCGGGTGCAGTGGCTCAAGATTCAATATTGCTAAGATACCAATTTTCCCCAAATTAGTCTATATACTCAATCCATTTACAGCACAATACCAACAGACACTTATTATAGAAATTGACAAAATATTCACCTATGATCCCAGCTCTTTGGGAGGCTGAGGCAGGACAATCTCTTGAACCCAGGAGTTCAAGACCAGCATGGGCAACATAGGAGACCCAGTCTCAAAAAAGAAAAAAAAAATTTAAAAATTAGCCAGGCATGGTGACATGTGCCTGTAGTCCCACCTACTTGGGGGGCTGAAGAGGGCAGACCACTTGAGCCCAGGAGTTTGAGGCTGCAGTGAGCCATGATCACCTCACTGCACTCTAGCCTGGGAAACAGAGCAAGATGCTGCCTCTAAATAAATAAATAAACAAACATTATAAAATAATGTGAATTTAATCATTAATAAACACTTGCAAGTTCTTGCACAGTTTCACAAAGATTAACGTGACCCAAAGCTTCACCTTCATAAGGCTAACTCTCAAATCTGTATTGCAAGCCTTATCTCCCAGTGGAACTCCAAGACCTGATTTCTAACTACCACATGAATAACCTATGAACACTGCAGCATCAATCATCATTCCAAAGCCAGCATTTTCATTCCCTTGTAATCAGCTTTTCCATATTTGTGACTGCTACTACTAATGCCAGTTCACTTTAACTTGAAACCCATTATCTTCTGATTCCTCTTCCTAATTTTTTCATTTAGCTTTTCATTGTTTTAAATACTCAGAAGTATCCTTTCAAATGATCTCTCACTTCTCCCCACTGACAAGCTTTAGTTCAGAGGCCTCACACTTGACCTTCTTACTAGCTCCCTATCCAGTCTTCCTGACCCTCTGTTTCCTTCTTTACAAATTCCTCCTTTTCTGTTTCTCTAGGATTATCTTAAGCCCACTTGATTACGCTATAGTCTGCCTCTGCAGCAGGTACTGCTGCTACCCCTTACATAGTCCTCAGCTCGTACTACTACCTCACATTAATGTTTACTTTTTATGTATGCCTGTCTTCCTAACCAAACCATGGCTAGTTGAGGGCAGGAACTGTAGTTTACTCATTTTTAAAAAATACATTTTCCAGCTGGGCATGGTGCCTCATGCTTGTAATCCTAGCACTTTGGGAGGCCGAGGCAGGCAGATCGCTTGAGGTCAGGAGTTTGAAATCAGCCTGGCCAAAATGGGGAAACCCTGTCTCTACTAAAAATACAATTAGCCAGGCTTGGTTGCGCTCACCTATAATCCCAGGTACTCAGGAGACTGAGGCAAGAGAATCACTTGACCCAGGGAGGTGGAGGTTGCAGTGAACCAAGATTGCACCACTGCATTCCAGCCTTGGCGACAGATTGAGACTCTGTCTCAAATATGTATATATCCTCAGACTAGGGTTCATAGGAGGTGACTGTGAATGTTTGTTAACAAGGATTATAACATGCTTTTCTGAGGGCTGGGGAGAGTTTGATAATGATGATGATGATGCAAGTATGTGTGACTTCAGCTAATTGCTTACTTCTCCAGGAAACCACAGAGGAAGAGTACAGTATTAAGGAACTTGGAAATCTCCCAGGAAGAACTTTGCAAAAGCTTTTATGTAAAAATTTACATATAAAACTCATAAAAACAATTTGAAACATTTCAATTTCCAGTAACACCTCTCATTACCTTCCTTTCTGATTCATTCTGAAAGGATCCCTTTTTTTGTCAAGGTAAATATTTTGAGTTTTACCTGGTGAATTGTTCAGTTCCAAGCTGAACTGGAAAATTCAGTTTAAAATAGTAAAATTATTTCATGACTTCTGGATCAGAAAAATGTTTTTAACATCTATTTTTAAAAGTAATTAATACACAAGTTCAGAGTTAAAGGGTTTACAATAAATATAAGTCTCCCTCCCACTCATGACCCACTGTCTTCAAGTCCTTCCTTGATGCTGCCCTTCACTACAGCTTATCAACTCAAATATTTTTGTAGGTTAGGCATGTAACATAAACGAGTAATGCAAGTGTGTTTATTGTATAATGTCATATTAAATTGTATTCTTTCAACATAATATAATTTACTTACATAGTTGCGTTCTTTTGCCAACAAAAAAAAGGTCTTTCTTATTATTTTGGAAATGGCTGACCCTCTCAGTCCTTCATTTTCTCTCACTTTTGATATTGTTATCATCCAACAGTTCTTGCTGCTCGCTGCATAGACAAAATCAATTCACTGAGACCATGGCATTGCAGTAGAGAGAGTTTAGTTGATTCAAGGCCAGCCTATGCAGGAGAACTGGGGTTATCACTCAAATCAGTCTCCCTGAAGACTCTGAGGTTAGGTGTTTTTATGGACAATTTAGTGGGCAGGGCGGGTAGGGAATGGGTGCTGCTGATTGGTTGGGGATGAAATCATGGGAAAACAATCCCTGCGTGCTGAATCCACCTCTGGTTGGGACCACGGGATCAGTTGAGTCAAGAGTCATATGTCTCGTGGGGTTAGTCCGAAAGATATCACAAAAAAAAAAACAAAACAGGCCGGGTGCGGTGGCTCAAGCCTGTAATCCCAGCACTTTGGGAGGCCGAGGCGGGTGGATCACGAGGTCAAGAGATCGAGACCATCCTGGTCAACATGGTGAAACCCTGTCTCTACTAAAAAATACAAAAAAAAAAAAAAAATTAGCTGGGCATGGTGGTGCGTGCCTGTAATCCCAGCTATTCAGGAGGCTGAGGCAGGAGAATTGCCTGAACCCAGGAGGCGGAGGTTGCGGTGAGCCGAGATCACGCCATTGCACTCCAGCTTGGGTAACATGAATGAAACTCCGTCTCAAAAAAAAAAAAAAAACAAAATAAAACAAAACAAAAAAATAGTCTTAGGTTCTATAGTAATGATGTCATCTATAGGAGCAATTGGGGAAGTCACAAATCTTGTGATCTCTGGTCACATTGATTCTTGAGCAGGAAGGGACTATAGAAACTATACCTACATCTTAGCACAGGTCAGGCCCCTCCCATGATTCTATACTCGTGGCTTTTCTTACAAATGTGGTTTTTGGTCCCTGAGCAATGAGGCAGTTAGTTTTAGGGAGGAACTATCATAATCCTTGCTTTCAAGTTACACTATAAACTATATTCCTCTCAAAGTTAATTTGGCTTAAGTCCAGGAATGATCAAGGCCAGCCTGGAGGTCAGAAGCAAGATGGAGTCAACTATGTCACGTTTCTCTTACTATCATAATTTTGCCAAGGCAGTTTCAATACAAGTAGTGGTTCCCTTTCCTCTTGATTTTTACTAAGAAAAGTAGAAGCACAAACTTCATGATAAATAGCAATTGATGTGTTCAATTTCAGAAAGATGAAGGAGCATGAACTACTGAAGAGGACATGAGTGCCTGAAGGATAAAACTACTACTTGGCTCCTGTTCCAAGACATTTTTTTGGTTTTTTTGTACATAAGAATTGAATGTTGATGTTGTTAGGCCTCCTGATAATTTAATGTGATTTTTTAAAAAGTGAAATTTCTTGATTTTTATTTTGGCAGCAAATGTAGGTTTTGTTTTGTTTTGTTTTGTTTTCTGAGGCAGAGTCTCACTGTCACCCAGGTTGGCGTGCAGAGGCACAATGTTGGCTCACTGCAACTTCTGCTTCCTGGGTTCAAGCCATTCTTCTGTCTCAGCCTCTCGAGTAGCTGGGACTACAGGCGCATGCCACCACACCCAGCTAATTTTTGTATTTTTAGTAGAGATGGGATTTCACCATATTGGCCAGGCTGGTCTCGAACTCCTGACCTAGTGATCCACCTGCCTCAGCCTCCCAAAGTGCTGGGATTACAGGCGTGAGCCACCGCACTTGGCCCAAATGTAGTATTATTTTTTAAACACTGGATAGGCCAACGGTGTCCAAGCCAAACAAAACTGTTCTGTGGGCTGAATTTGGACCAATGGTGGCAGTTTTATTATACAACAGTTTGCTTTTTTTTCATGTGCAATACTATGTATATATGGGAGATTATTCCTTATCAGGACATACAGACCTAAAGCATAGGTTTTCATGGCCAGTATGGACATAATTTGTCTAGTTCCTATACATTGAACATTTATTTTGATTCCTATCTTTGCCATTTCATAAAGTGCAGAAATAAATATCATCATGCATACATCTTTGCATATGTGCGAATGATTCCACAGGATAAATAACTAGAAGTCGAATTGCAAAACAAGGGTTTCATAAAACATAATGATAACCACATATAAAAGGTGATGGTGGTTACTTTCTCCTTTTTTTTGGTAAAAGTCTTTTCTCCCTAATTTTTATTTTTTATTGTTGTTGTTAAAGTATTTCGGTTTCTTGAATTTTATTTTCTAAAATAACAAGGAAGTAACAATTACAAAGACCTTTTTGTACAATCCTACAGTTTGTACGGGCTGGTACAGCAAGTTGCTACCTGGACTTGCCATTGAAACAGTCATCACAATAAATAAAGAAAATTCCAAGCGTCCTGCATTAGGGAAGTTTACTATCAATGGCTTGGTCTACACTTGGTGGTACGGTGAGTGCATGGTACGATTCTGACAATTAAGGGAAAAGGAATTTTCTTTACGCTCTGCATATTTGTGTATGTGTGTGGTATGGGGGGGTGGAAGATCCCTGAAGTAAAGATGATGCACAGGACCCTTTGATTTTAGTCCCTAAAAATTGGCTTCATAACCCTTTTTCATCGGCCACATCCCTTTTATGGGTCCTAGTTTCCTCATAAAACATAAAAGATTTGTGTTGGAAGAGGAAAAGAGTATTTAAATCCATGGAGCTGACTTAGATTACCTAAGGAGAGAATGTAGATAGACAGGAAGAGAAGCTCAAGATGGCTGAGATCCGGAACTGTCCAACATTGAGAAGTTTGGGAGAGGAGCCAGCAAAAGAGCCTGGGAGCAGCAGCTCCGGAGAAAAAGGAGAATGTGATGTCCTCATAGCCAAGAGAGGCAAGTAGTTGAAAGAGTGCTCAGCACTCAGCATTCTGAGCTGAATGCTGCCGCAGGCTCACTGACCACAAAAAATACGTAGCTGGTGGAGGCCTTGAGGAGGACCATTTCAACACGCTGGTGGGCTTAAAAGCCCGAAGAAAGTTTGTTTAAACAGTTAATGAACCAGTCATTTTGACGCCTTTTATAAACCACACAAGCTTATTTCAAACCCGTTACTGGCCTAATTGATAAGTCCCTTTCAAATCTGATCCTCGGAGATTCTAAGGGACTTAACCTACCCCATGACTCTTCCTCCTGCTTCTCACCTCCCAAGACCGCCCTATGGATGTGAAAGGGCTTTCAAACAAAGACGCCAAACAGAGAGGGCAGGCAAACGTGCAAGCATTAGTTTGTATTACTCTATTACCGTATTCACCTGGCACCCTCTAGTTTCCTTCATACTCCCTCAATATCCAACTCATTAAATTCATGGCTCCCGGTAAGCATCCATCAATCCTCATTTCACGCCTTTAGCCCTTCCCGTCCCCGCCCAACTCTCGCTACCTACCCAGGCAAAATCTTTAACCCGCGAGCCTAATTTTGAATTCCAAACCTGAAGCAAGAGGGCGGGCCAGGAGGGAGGCGACGGAATGCGCATGGCAGTTCCCGAGGCACTGTGCGCATGCGCTGGTCCTCCGCGGACCGTTCGTGCTGTCCTCCTAGATAGGGTGAAGTGGCTGTTTCCGTGACGGACTGAATACGGGTGCCTGTCAGGCTCTTGCGGAAGTCCATGCGCCATTGGGAGGGCCTCTCCAGCGGCTCTGTGCCCTTGCTGCTGAGGGCCTCTTCCCGGGTCATTCCTGGACCAGGAGCCGGGCTGGGGCTCACACGGGGGCTCCCGCTTGGCCATCTCGGCGTCTGCGTGACCTCCCCGCGCGCGGGATGTGGCGACTACGTCGGGCCGCTGTGGCCTGGTAAGTGCAGGCTCTGATCTGGCTCCGTTAATTCTGGGGCCTCTTGAGAGTGAGGTTGTCTTATCTTTATCTCCAAAATGTGCAGATAACTTTCAGGCCAGGCCGAAGGCTGTTGGAGAATTCCCAGATATTCTTGAGGACCCAGAATGACAGGAGCCCTGGCTGGCCTTACGTTCGGAGCCGGCTTCGGTACTGGCCCTTGTTCTGTGGCCCTATCCAGCTCGAGAATTCTGGACGCCTCTCAATCTTGGCCGGTCTCTATTGTCCTTTTGTCTCTGCCCTTTACACCCTTGTGTCCCCTGTTCTGTCTCTAGTTGCCTTTTTTTTTTTTTTTTTTTTTTTGTCCTCTCCCTGCCAGGTTTGGCCCTGTCCGTGAGTCACCTCCCACATTTCTCCTAACTATCGCTGTCTTCTCTTCCATTTCCACGTCATGTGTACATTGCGCCTTCAGTTACTTGGGTTCTTTTCTCGGTTGAAGGGGCATCTGTGTCTTTCCCTTGCCGGCTGCTCGGAGTCAGAACTAGAGTGGTGACGCACACGGTGTCGGAGATGGTGATTTGAGATGCGCTCTCAATAGCAGCTTTTTTTCTGTGTTTAGGGAGGGAGACTTGATTTTTGATGCAAAGTGGTGAACGTGGCACCACCCTTCTAGTCACAGTCATTGTTGCTCTGGGATGGTTTGATTCTAAATAGAAAAATCATAGAAATCTTTTCATTTCTGTGCGTTACTATATGCATTGTAACGAAGTTAAATTGGATTTTATACGTAATTTTGTTTTAATATCCTTAGATACCTTCAAGCTTAGCTCATTGTTGCAGGCATTTGGTAGGAATATGCATCAAACAAAGAGAAAAGTTTGGTTTTCCTGAATTAACTCTAAACACTTGTCTTGAATTTTTTCCAGACCTTTTTTAAGTGGTGCAGATAATGTATCGTGTTTATAAGGAATGGAATCCATTTGTTTTATATAGGTTAACTGGAGTCCAAATGCAGAACTAGATGACATAAAATAGTTACGGTGTTAGTCAATTAGAACTATTGCATAGGTGTTTTTAATCTCATGGAATTTTTGTCTTTTGAGGAAGTTCACAGCCCTGGTTATTAAAGTTATTTACAACCTTTGTATTTCTATTTCTCTGTATTTAGTAGGGAAACATCTGATTTTCTTTAAATAAAAAAAGACTGCAGAAGATAGCATTCTCTGTTGGAGCAATTAAAATGTGTAGGAAGAACTACAAAGATGAAGTTTTAAAACAAACTGATTTATAAGTTTTTTTTTAAATTTAATTGGATGTAATTGGGCTAAATTATTTCTAAAGTTACCATGGATGTCATTGAGTCATGGCTTAAAAATGTCTCCTGGTCATGGCACAGTTTACCTACCTAAAGAAGTGGAGATGTGGGAAGCCAGAAGCCCCAAGCTCTGGAATTTGCCTTTTGCTATAGTTCCTTTGCATGTTGTGAAAGAACACAGTTAAATTCCTACTCCTTAGCAAATGAAAACATAAGCCTTTTTTTGACATACGTATATAAATACATGCTCATGGACATGTGAAAAGATCAATACTAACATTTGGTGCAATAAATAATTTGCATACAATTATTTTAAAAAGATTTACATATTAGGAAATGATGTATTGATTAAAAGTTATGGTAAAGGAACAAGAGAGTAGATGATTTCGGGGGAAAACCTATTTTGGATCCAAATTGATTTTTAATTTTGACTGAATATTGAAGTCTGTATTCAAAATTCTTTTCCTTTAGAATAGTAAAGGCATTGCTACAGTTTCTTCTAATGTAATTCTTTGTTGCTGCTGAGAATTCTCATGACAATGTTTTTCATTTTTGTGAGTATCTTGTTTTTCCCTTCATGGAACCTGTTAGAGTCTTGACTTTATTGTTTATCCTAAATTTCTCAAGGCTTTGACCAGGTATGGGTTTGGTTTTTCTTTTGCTACTCATCTGACTTGGCACTCAGTGGGCCTTTGCCTTTATGTTTCTTCATTTCTGAGAAGTTTTTTTCTCTTATTTTTTTATTTCCTTCCTTTCATTTTTCCTGTTCTTTTTCTTTCTAGACATCTCTTAGATGGATAGTGGTCCTCTTAGATTGATCCGTTATGTCTGTGATTTCCAAAATAATATATGTACTCATCATCTGTTGAAAAGTATACATATACCCTACTATGTATGCACACTTTTTTATTTTTGAATTGTGTATGTATCTGTAGTAATTATTTACGTTATAAGCCAACTCTTAAAGGATAAGATGCAAAAAAATACTGCATCTATAAGCTTCAGTACTTTCTTGCTGAATCCCAGATCCTTTTGTCCATACTGCAGGATGCATTTCAGCCCCATTCTCCCACTCCCTTTGGATACGACATTACCACATCTCTGCATCATTTCACTTTCCTTTTGTATTTTCCACCTTTTTTCTTTGCATTCTGTGTCTTGGCAAATTTGCTTAATTCATTTCATGGTTTTACTGTTGATTTTTTTAATATTGGCCATTGCAACTTTATGCATTTATTTATTAAACACAGGGTCTTGCCACGTTGTCCAGGCTGGCCTGGAACTCCTGGGCTCAGGTCAGGTGATCCTATCACCTTGGCCTCCCAAAATGCTGGGATTACAGGCATAAGCCATTGCATTTAGTGGCAACTTAATTTTTTTATATTTATTTTTCCTTTCAGAGGGCACCTAGCACTCAGTATTGCAACTTTCATTTCCACGAACTTTTAAAAACATTTATTAAACTCTTAAAGACATGTTTAATTCTGTACACTTTACATTGTTCTTTGATTGCTGCTTTTGAATAACACCGTACTTGCATTTATGTCTGTCATATTTTTAGGAACTCTCCTGAGAATGGTAATTAGGATTTCCTATCTCTGCTTTTTTTAGGATTAATAATGTTGTTTATTTTGGTCCCCATCTTGAGAGTTGCTGGTTTTTAAAGATAGTCTGGTTATCTAAGTATATTATTTAACTGTGAAAGACTAATGATTGATGTAGATGCCTTGTGTGGGATAACCCTGAATGAGAGAGCTAAATTAGCAAACTGTTTTAGGTGTGTGATGTGTCAATTAGCAGGCTTTATTTTAGGGCTTTTTAGGGAGTGGGCAGATGATCTGAGCTTGTTACAAATGCCAGTATTGTTGTGGGGGCGCTCACTGTGGAAACTCCCCTTTCCCATGTGCACTTAGGAGCCTTTCTGGTAGATAGCTCAACCTGGGGCAATTGCTGCTAACATTCAATGGGACTGGAGTGAGGTAGAGGGTTACTAAAACAGTGTTTTCTTAGATGGTGCTTTAATCTTAACTTCATCTTTTCATTCGCTGATGTGAAGACCTTTTTGTGAAAAATAGTCCTCTCCTGTATGAGCACTGATCGTTTAGAGCATCTTCTTGAATTGGAAGCCCTAAAAATAGTTATTGAGGGTGACTTCCAAAGAAGTGTTAATACTATGATTTTGCTTTGAGTTCATTATCTCTTCCAGGGGACTAATTGGAGAACATTTTTCATGTAGTTACCTGAAATACTGGTTACTATACTCCCCATTCTTGTCCCTTCCCCCCATCCATACTTATTGTTGCCCCTCTTGTGGAAATAGTTACTTTACGGATTTGCAGGTAAGAGGAGGAGGAAATAGTGAAAAGTAAAAACATCTTAGGGATGAACTTAGTCATGGAGTTCATCTAGTTGTGTGTGTGTGTGTGTGTGTGTGTGTGTGTGTGTGTGTGTATTTGGCTTAACTACTTTCTAAAAAAAATGCAGGTAACTTTTGAGGGTTAAAGAGCTGTTTATTCATTCATACATTAGTGGAGGTTAGTGCAGATTAATATTAAAATGACATTTATTGAGCACATAGTCACTGCTATGGTTCTCTGACCTGTTTTTTACAGTTTAATTCTCCCAATAACATGTTTATTTAATAAATTTATTATCTATCATTGTGAGGCACTGGACTAAGACCTTAGAAACACATAGGACCCTGTTCTTACGAAGATTACAGCTTACTAGTGGAGACAAATTTTAATCTAATAACTACACTATTATATAATATAAATTTTATAAGAACTATGAAGAGAAAGTACAGAGTTGAGAATTGTAGTGGGTAGACTTGCATTCTTTTGAAGGTTTGGGGAGAGGAGGGGATGCCTGAGGTGAAACTGATCGGTAGCTCCAGTTGAGTACCTAGGAGAGACTGCCCAAGAATAGCAGGTATCATGCCCTGAGATGGCACAATTGAGGAACTGGATGAAAACTCGTGTTGGGGGAGAGCTCTGAGACAAGTGGGAGAGAGGCAAGGGCCAGACTGTGCAGGACATTACAGACCAGGAGTTTGGATTTTACTCTAAATGCAGGGGGAGCCATTTAAGAGATTGATGCAGGTGAGTCACAGTGATCAGATATGCATTCAAAAGAATGTTCTGGTGATGGGTGAGGATAAAGAAGGTATCAAGAATGATCCCTATGTCTGTGTGTTAAGTAACTGAATAGCTGCTCATGCCATTTCCTAAGAAACGGAATACGGCAGGAGGGTCAGGTTTTGTGTGGGACATGGGAGGAGAGATCATGTTTTGTATATCTTGACATTGATGTACGTTTTTATTATCTAAGTGGTGATGCTGAATAGGCAGTTGGACACAAGGGTCTGGAACTTAACCGTATTAGACAT